TATGGGAACAGTCTCATCTGACGAAGCCACCGCAGGCCTACCGTCCGCCCATCCGATTCGTCGGGAATCGGTAAGATCATAGGCTTGGCGAGGGGACGCCTGTTGCGGCCTATAAACCCGCGTCTGTGTCGGTTCTTGTCTGATTCATTCACTTTGTTTGTGGTCTAATGTATCATACGCCATAAGAATGCTCAGCAACGCCTGGCACGGCCTATAAGTTAACGGGCCGTGGGACCGCCATTTTATACTGCAATGTAACTTAAAAAGCGCCTATATTATAATTTTATATAACTTAGAAGCTTATCATTCTTAGGGCTAAGGCTACAGTACAAAGGGCCTCTCTAAGGCCCATATTACAGAATGAAAAATTAGTGTTAATCTTTACTCGAGTACAGTTAGAAAGGGATGTCGCTATGTGCTATATGTAGTGTCATCCCTTTCTAACTACGCTCAAGACTAGATTAATTACTTAGAATCTTTTTATAATACGGGTCTAAGTGACAAGAGCCAAGCTTCTGTTCAGTAGTTAAACGGGATGGAAAGACATATTGTTTTACGCAGTCGGGCACTTCGCAAGTGACGGGCTAGGTAAATGACAATATATTTCGTAGCTTGCATGTAAGTTTGATACGACGCTTTGCACCTATAGTGTATCTTAGCCTTATGTTTACATTAATACATGAACCGGTACGTTCCACTAAATGTTATTATGCGCATCATATTATCTTCTCATAAGGATAAGTACTTACATTATTTTAAACAACGATACACCTAACTAATATAATATTCATTAATAATATGAGTACCTAAGTAATTTATATTACCAAACAGTGCACATCAACAAGTGCTTGGGGGATCTTTACCCTTTCCGCCATAACCTTGGACATTGTGAAAATTATCATTAAATATTCGAAATTCTTCAAATGTGTGTAAATACTTAAATTACATGTGAAGTCATTTATGTTCTGAAAATAGCGCTAATAAATAAAACGCTTTTAAACTTCCCAGTATTACTTTATATAACCCTGGTAGAGTTCGGGACAATAAATGGGTTATATATTTATCCAAATGAAGTACTGTAATTAAATGAATTTATTTTCTTTTATCCCTTTTTTACTGTTGAACAAAGAATTTCTAAAATTTACATTTATAATCTTAGAGCATTTTCTAATCATATACCTTAAAATAGTTACATTGTGGTAAATTAATTCCGCGGTGTCAAAAAGAACGCTCTCTAGTTAGTTAAAAAGCTAAATTTAAAATACAAACGAGACTATAACTATTATATAAGTATAAACAATGTAAAGACGGGCATATCACATACAACCTGCTATTTTACCATTTTCAATCCTTAACCATAATAATATCCATGCACATTCCCCGGCCGTTCTCTAGTATGTACTTCAATTATTATGTAGATATATTTATAATAAAGGTTGCGTTTCATTTTATCAACAAATTATTAGTTGGCTTACTTAGAGAAGTCAACTAAATTTAATGCTTAATTAAGTGTTATTCGTTATTTTTTCGCAGATAGTGTCATAAAAGTTAATTTTATTTCCCAGGAAGCAATTAAATGTAAAAGAAACAGTAAAAAATTTGGAAAAGAGTTATAAATACAGAAGCAGAATATGTCATGCAATTAAGTGCTCGTACAAGGAGAACTAAGGTGGGTGGACCATGGAAGGCCATCCTTTGAAGGCGAACTTTAAAAAAAATCATAGAACCTATTATTGTCATATTTTTTACGGTAAATTGTCATATATGGATTTGTTACGGTACTAAAGAAAATAATAATAATTTTGCTTCGATTTCAGTTGAAATAGCGATAGTGTCCTCCGAAAGTCGGTAGTCCTTATAAGGCAAATCAAAGATTTGACGGTCGGCCTTGCAAAGGTATATGGACCTTACTAAGAACATTTACAAATCATGGAAATATGAACATTTAGTTTATGGTTATAAATACGTACCGGAAGTTTTGTTTATAATATTATTATTTAAATAAATATAAATAAATATTTCCAACACTCACACCAATTAGCCTAGCCCCAAAGTAAGCACTGTAAGGCTTGTGTTATGGGATGCTAGGGTAACGGATAGAATACATATACTGTACATATATAAGTATATTTATATAGAAATACATATTAAACATCCATGACTGGAGTACAAATGCTCGTATTCATCACACAAACATCTGCCCCCACTGGGATTCGAACCCGGGACCTCTCAAGTCGGCGACACCATGAAATCCGGCGTACAAACCACTCGACCATGGAGGTCGTCATATATATAAGGGTTAATTCAACTTAACCTTCTTAGATACATTTTGGCCTTACAATGAATGGACCCATAAAAAGGCCATTATAGGCCAATTTTGTTATATATATTTTCATTCCAAAAAACATTGGCAACTTATTTGTTATTGATATAATACTCACGACCATATCTAAAGAATATTGGTTGAGATTTTTAATGAAAATTATAATCTGTTGAGCATTTAATGTTTTGTTTAAACCAAAAAGCTTTTAATGTAGTTTTAGTAAACGTGGATGTTTTGAAAAATACCACTCTAGTTTTAAGCTGAACAACTGATTTATAATAAATGCCTGTATAGCGACCTATTCCTAGTAAGGCCATTTGGAAGAGCCTAATAAAAGTTAATTAAATAAGGATTACATTTAGAATAAAAAATGTAATTTATATGTTAGACAATAAAAGAAAGTGTTATTTAATAATTTGTTTCTTTCATTTATGTAATAAATGAGCACATAAAAGCTGTTTATTCGTTAGGTTCATCTATCATTCCATAGTCCACCCAAACTATATATTTTTTAAATAGAATTTGGTGAGTCCATTATGCCGTTAATAAAATTAAATTAAAAACAAAATTTTACCCATTCACATTTTAATTACAGTTATTTATTCTTTATAAAAACAACTTGGATGTGTTTTTAGATATTCGTAAACTACACACTCAAAACATATTTTTCAACGTTATTTAAACATATTTTACAGCAAAGAATTGACGGTGTAGAGATTCTTAAAAACAACGATTTGTATTATAATCTAGTTTTAATCTATTAATCTAGCGATTTCACGAAATATGACATTGAAAACTAATATAAATTAATTGGACGTCACCAAAATATTAAAAAAATGCTTGGGTTTTGTTAGTTGTGAACGATTAAATACAAACAATCCATTAAGCTAATTCAACCTTCAAAATTATAATCTTAAATTTTGCCAAAAATACAAAGTTGGCTATAAAAATAATTAAAAGCCACTATGATAATTCCCACCTATGTCCAAAAACCGCCTTATCAATTTCTCTAACATTAAGACTTCCCATAAGTACCTAATTTAATTTCTATTACTAAAGATTTATTGTCATTTGTTCGAGCGTTAATCATTTACATTTATTTTATATATTATTAAATACCTTAAATATTCCTAATACATAACCACGGTAATACAAAACCTACACAAAATATAAAATTTTCATAAGTACCTAGTTTTTTAAACTTCAGTCAAATCAAACAAATATTAAATAGAATAAAGCTAAAAAATAGCGTTTCTGTGGCAGACATTATTAAGTTCATAAAATAAACTGATATTTTTATGTAGCCAAGTACTGTTTATATAAATTATGTGTTTATAAATAAATTATGTATTATGTGTTTATATAAATGTTAAGCGCTTAGCCGAATTTAAGAGAGTTTTTTTATAAATAATAGTAGAAATCTTGAGCACATACTATAAGAAACTGCTACTACTGCTACAACACATGAAGATAAATGAAAAATAGATTTATAATCAAAATTTCATGAACAGAATAGGTACACATCGTAAATATTGTCATAAAATATAAATATTATAAAAAAGTGCATATTTTAACAAGTGAACAGAGGCTATTAAGATTTTGATTATTGTCTCGAATTCAAAGGATCGTCTTTGTTTTCATCTTTATAAGTACAACTATTAATATTTTTTATACTCATAGACTCGAAGATCGAATTTTATCCTTTGTAAATTTGATCTCCAAAAACATTCACTTATTGTCATAATTGGAACAGTCATTCCTATATTATGCAGCCTTTATCAATCCACTTTTATAAAAATAAACTTAAAAAATATTGTAAAATTTTATATCAGAGAAGATCTCTTTATTGTCAATTTCAAATAATCAGTTTTTTTACTACATCAACAAATATCAAATAAGTGCAATATAATTACATAAGTGCCAATTGTTTACCATTTAAGTATACGTATTGTGCATGCTAATAATACAGTAATTACGTTAGGTGCCAACTACGAGCTAAAGGAATCATATTTTCTAAATATGCAAATCGTAAGCATTGTACAGGGATTAAATACACTTATGCATAATTTAATCGTTAAATACATTACATTAATGACACAGCGATATTGTCTTAGAGTGAGTACATAATTATACAAACATGCTACGAATATGCAATAATACTATACAAACTTTATTATCACAATATGAATGTGGGTTTTTTATATACATAACATTTATATTTCACCACATAAAATAGATAACTATTCTCTTTTTTACTTAATATATTCACAGTATTATTGGGTGCCCACGATACAGGACCTCCTAGTGTGGGACCCATGGTTATAAGCTGACTGTATGATGTAAATTTTAATAAATATATTTGTATTTGTAGTAAATTAAGTTACTTATATAAAATGAAAACTTGTTTAGGGTAAGAATAAAAAACATATTTGAGATATTATAGATATCCCAAATTTGTTTTTTTTTTTAGATTTATACAACGTTATCAATATATAATAATACCGATGTTACTACAATTCATAACAAAAAACTAATGGACAGAATCTAAATATTTTTATATTATCCCTATAAAAAAACTTATTTTACAGAAAGGGAAATGCGTATTTATTTATTTTAACATAAATATAGCTACACACATGAATATCCGTTGCAATAAACTTATCTTAATGAAAATGAAATAACTTTAAGTAATTATTTACATTACTAATAAGCATAATTTTCAAATAGTATTATAATTCTCTTTCCTAGAATTACCAATGTAAATATAATTCAATTTTACGATGGCATCAATAACAAATAATTACGCAACAAAGTATAAAATAGCTACACTGTCACTTAAGACACTATAAAATTCAACTGAACCCACATCATTAATTAATTAAAAAAAACGTTTTTTGAATGATTACATTACTTCCCTTCACAATTAACATTTTTATTTTAAATCTACAATCTATCATAGATAATAGATACATTAATAGCTTCATTAGATAGATACGATTCTAAATTTTGAACAATTACTTAGATATTTATAAACATTTTACAACAACTTCTTGAATTTCGGTAGTCTGAAAATGACATTTTGAATAAGAAATAACTACAATAAATGAAAACCTATCAACGAAATTTTTCTTGAATGAATAACTTAACTTTGGCTTCACATGATAGTACATAAACATCGATTCGAAAGCTATGATAAATCTATAAACCATGATATTTGAAATTTTGTACCGAACTCTCCACCTAAGATTCATAAAAAACTAGCCAGAAATATAATTTTAACTAACGATTAGAAGCGTGTTTTCAGTTGAATTTTCGACCAACAAATACTTTACACCACTGAATATAGAGTGGAAGAGCGGCAAAGCTTTTCTATAAAAAAAGTGCTAGACCGCACTGTTTCACCGCGGTGAAAATAATCTTCAGCGTCTGGTGGATGCGATCATGCTCGAGTTTAAGAAAATGTAAATTTTTAAACTCATCGTTGATTCTTTTGGAGTTGGGTACTTGTCATTCTTTCCGAACAGAGGACTTACTCTCTTTCTCCGAAACGAACTTTCGGTAACGAACGGTCTTATTGGTTGTACCTATTTAATTTGAACGATAAACTAGCGAATTCAGTTTGTCGTTGAGTAGGCCTAACGATTCTCAACCACAATCTACTTTCAGGCGAACGAATATTCGTTCTAATTAGAAACGGATAAGAAACATATGTAGTATGAAATGTGCGAAGTTTCGATCGAATTTCGTTTTATGTTGAATAAGAGTGGACTTCCAGTTCTTAGAATATTGATATCCATGTCGTGCTGTGAATCAAGGACTTGCCTCTTACCGAAAACACACTTGCTCTTGCTATAGGTAATACTCTTATAGCATTGAGAATTGATATGCAATATAGATAACTTATTTACACCTGTACAATAGGGTCAAAACAAACGATAGATCATTAAATATAAACAGATAGTTCAACCATAATATTTCTTTACAATAACTATTTCTAATTAGAGCAGTAAATCACCTAGAGCTTTAGCCAATCAGAATATTTTTTTGGAAACAGGTACACAATATCAGTGATAATGTAGGTACATTACAAACTATCTAACTGTTGCTATCAATAACATCATATTTGGTTAAATCTATTGAATCGAAACAGTTACAAATGTAATTTTCCTAACTATCTATAAAAATAGAGAAGTGGCCACTTAACCATATGCTTGCTGACTAGGGACCTGTAATCAAATGAAAATTAAACTTCAAAAATATCTTGCGCACAACTACATGGAAAAGTTTGCAGAGAAAATGTATTTCAATGCTTAAATTAAATAAATAAATGCAATTTTTCTGCAGTGTCAAAGAAACGTTCTTTCTAAAAATGAATATCGATTCTGTAACATAAGTAAAATTTAAATCGTTATCTTTCGATCGATGATCGATCAAAAGATAATTGATTTAATAATTGCCTTAGTTTAACTCCTTTAATATTTAATGCAAGACAGTTTGAATCCCGCGAAAGGACAAAGGACAGTTTCTACTAAAGAAATAATCCTTTCAAGGCCTGAAAAGGGGAGTGGGCTTGTATGAAAACCATTTTTTACACGCAGACGAAGTCGCAGAAACCTACTATAGGCAATGCTATAAACTTCTTGAGCAAAACCACATACAAATAAACTTGCGCAACAGATTGTTATATATGTAAAATTGCTAATGCACAGGCTTCCTTGTCTATGATCGATGATCAAGAAGTTTGCCGTGGGTGTATACTTTACCTTAGTAGGTGCCGTCTTGAGTGGGGTCCTCATAATGTTGCGAGGGAGGTTGCACGGGTTCTGCCTGATAGAAGGCGCCGTTGACGAAAGGGTTATTAGGTACGTGTTTCTCGGGCGCCGGGGGACGAGGGGGAGCTGCGATGGCGCCGTATGCTGGAGGCTCCGAGCCTTTCAGAGGCGCTGAAGGCCGCTCCGTCTGTGAAGCAGCAATCAGCAAACAGTTCTAACACTGACACCAATAATAAATAAATATTTTTAGAACTCGCATAAATTTTCCATTAGCCTAGATCCAAAGAAAGCACTGCAAGGCTTGTGTTATGGGATACTAGGGTAACTGCAAAAAAAACACTACATATATAAGCATATTTCTATTGAAATACTAGCTGACCCAGCGAACTTCGTACCACCATAAAAAAATAGGGGTTGGTGGTAGAAGGGCGAAAATTTTGAGTTATATTTATTTTTGCATGATGTATCATAAAAAAATTAAAAAAAAAACTAAAATTGATAAAAAGAAATTAGGGGTGGATTACCCTTAACATTTAGGGGGATGAAAAATAGATTACATCCGATTCTCAGACCTACTGAATATGCATATAAAATTTCACGAAAATCAGTCGAGCCGTTTCGGAGGAGTTTAACCACAAACACCGCGACACGAGAATTTTATATATTAGATATATAAACATCTGTGACTTAGGTGCAAATGCTCGTATTTACTACACTATCATTTGCCCCACCGGGATTCGAACCCGGGGTTCTTTGAGAAGGCGACACCTTGAAACCCGGTATACAAACCACTCGGCCGCGGAGGTCGTCAAATAATACCAACTAGCCAAGAATGGTAGAGCATAGCGTTTTCCGCCCGAATTGGAGCGCCCATCTGACCACACAGACTACAGTACTATTATAACACTACCTTTTGGTGGTGTTGAGTTTCTGTCGGTGATTAAGTTTCCAGGGCTCCATGGGGTAGGATATTAGGTCAGGATAGGCAACGGTGCGACAGTATTTTTTTTTGTATCGCAAGCATCTATAGCCGGGGTAGATGACCAGTCGATCGCGACTATTAGTTCAGTCGATAGTGGCAAGGCAAAAAATATAAATAAGTATAACAGACTGCGCATCGTAATCACCAACTGCTGTACGCATCTTCTTTATACTCTCTTCCGTAGTGATATCTATGAATTGGCTACAAAATTTGCGCAGTAATATAAATAAGTAGTTACTAAGGCACTCGTTTACTTTTATCTTTGCCCTCTTAGTAAAATAACAAAATACTACATACTACATAATTGTGTACTGAACTATGCTTTTTCATTTAAGATTTCAAGAAGTATGTAATTGGTAGATCGCAGAGGGTTTCGACAGTAAACAGTAGATCTTGGGTCTAATCAAGTCGGCCACACCTAGTCTATAGACTATGGTGCTTGCTTACAGGCGGGCCATGCGCTTGTTTGCAACCCATTTAACATATAAAAGCTTTATGGGATACTAGGGTAACCGATAACTGATACATGGTAACATGAGAAGGTTATAAATATACCTTTAAGCCTTTAAGAGGACTTTTTGGCAGGATCGGGAAGCGACACTTAAGCAGTTTTATTTTTCTTGTTAAAAATTGAGTTGTGGCGGATGTTAGTGTCTTATAGAGTTATCTTAAAGATGTTGTTTACTAACCCGAAACCTGATTTCTCTACCTCTCTCTACAAAACGGGATTTAAATATTTTCACAATATTGAAACACTCCATTTAAGCAATTCTCTTAATGATTTATGTGTTTCGTTATTCCCTAACCAAAATCCATCCATCCCTTTTATTCATGACTCGTGGCCGGCCCTCGCTTCGCTTCGGTGTAGAGCTGTAGTGTAAACTATAGTTTTTGTTCTCAGGCTTGTGTTATAAACAATAACTTTATTTATATAATTACACGTGTTATTGTGAGTCAACCATAAAAGATAGACATATGCTGTTGCGGGATATTTTTTAGACAATTTTATGTAGAATATTTCCGTTATACATGATTTCTATGTAACTTTAACCATTAAAGCTGCACACGCGACGGAAGCTTAAAAAATGGAGTAACTTCTCCCGTTTTTCCAATATTTCCCTTCACTACTCTGCTTCTATTGATTGTAGCGTGATGAAAAGTATACTATAACCTGCCCAGGAGTATGAAGAATAATTGTACCAAGTTTCGTTAAAATCTGTCGAGTAGTTTTTGTTTCTATAAGGAACATACACACAGACAGACAGACAGACAAAAATTTTACTGATTACATTTTTGGCATCAGTATCGATCACTAAACATCCCCTGATAGTTATTTTGAAAATATATTTCATGTACAGAATTGACCTCTCTACAGATTTATTATAAGTATAGATATAGATTATGTTAATTTTCATACACTTACGAATGTGGTCTCATGGTCCAACGACTTGACAGTCGTGTCGAATTCTGGTGGTGGGTCGGCCCACGGCTGCAGCTCCCCCGAAGCAAAGATACCGTATATGGTGATACCGATGAAATGGACCGTCGCACCCATCAGAAACACCGAACGCCATTCTGCGATAGCTTTCTTGTGGTCGCCCTGTGGTAAAATTATATATAAAGTAAATAAATAAATATAATATAATATTCGTATTATTCCGCCCAGATAGAGGAAGATGTGGGTTCGAATCCCGTCTGAAACCTGGACCTAGTGAAAAATTTCTAGTTATATTTTCTTTAAATTTGAATTATATTCTTTCAAACTTTCATGGTCACCAACGTTATAATACCTTGTTTCTGTAATTAGCGGGATTTTGGCACTGTTGTAAGTGCTATGATCACGAGGAAATTTTGAAATATATGGGACTCACCAACAACAAGGAGCGTGGTAACAATCTCACTAATTACATTATTTAATTATATGAAACAAATATTTTTAACACTCAGATCAATAAGCCTCGCCCCAAAGTATACTGAAATGTTTGTGTTAAAGGATACAAGGGTAGATACATTACTTCTATTAACTATTAAGTTTCACACCAGACGTTATAAAACCCAGAAAAATACTGCACTCCACTTGGTGTTAGGTGCGAATCGACTCCAAATGAAGATACTTAGGTAACTACATAGTTGTGCGGACATTCGGTAACAGATTACCGCGCTTCACCCGCACTCTCGGCACACACTCTGGACCGCGGTCCTCAATGTGCGTGTCGGGTGAATGCTGCAGGAGTATTGTCTGGTTTTTCCTAGCCCTGTAAAGGGCGTAGGTAGGGCTCGTTGAAATGAACAGAGAGGAGTCCCAGATACCTTCTTCTCGCTCCCCTAGTTCTTGAGGGATGCGTAAGGTATTTTCCAGACATTAAAAACATCTAACTAAATAGTTTCAGAAAAACATGCCGCATGTTCTTGGCTTAAATCCTTACTTAATTAATTATTAATACCATATTGGTGTATATAAAGGCAACCGTTACTGACTGACTGATGTATCAACGAATAGCTCAAACTATTGAATGGACTTCACTGAAATTTGCTATTATGATGTAAGTGTGCACTAATAGAGTATTTTCCAAAACTCATCCTTTTAGCTGAGCACCAAGATTACAAGGAAAAATTGTTTTCTACGCTGACGAAGTCACGTCACCCACTAGTAGTTTCTAAGAGTAGGTGAAGCTGTTTTCAGTGAAATTGGTTTCAGTCTTCTGTAAAGTGGATGTAACTTTCCCAAAGCGGTTTGTCAATTTCGAACAGAAAGTCCACTGTTCCTACGTCATTTCCATTATGGTCTTTAAAAAAAATGATTTAGCATTTGACATGGCTAAGTTGGTGGACTCCCATGAAATGGGTACTGTATCTAAAGTTTTGTTATTTAAAAAACGATTTCTTTTAAATTATGTGTTTAAAATATTAACTTATATTGAAAGTTTGAATATAATTACTTATTGGATCTAAGGGGGTAATCCTCAGTTCTAAAATACAAATTTCAATATGAATTCAATATGAATTTTGTAGGTACTGATTTGAGTCAAGTTTTTTATTATTATTTAATATAAATTATTTTTAATATTGTTTTCAGTAACTAATGCACGGGCTTCGGCAACAATACACGCACAATAATGGAGTAATAGAGTGGTAGCGGTGACGCTCCGTCGCGCACCCACAAAGCAGTTCATTCGATATTCAGCTCACGTCACTCGGCGGGCGATTTCTTTTTTAAATTAACTACAGACGTTCGTTCTTTTTGTTTCGCCTGAATGACGGAATGCGGATACTCTAGGGGGAGGTTGCGCATTCGAGTACTGTTCCGAAACTGAGAACTTTTCAGTGAAAATATAAAAGAAATGAATAAAAAACTACACTCCCGGATACATATATCTGCCCACTTAGTGTTATAAATTTCAACAGTCAATTGAGCAATAATAATATATTTTTAAAGACACACGAAAAAGATGGTAAAACTTTTAGCTCAATATACCTTTATTGAAGTGAAAACTTCTTTAGTGGCGTTGTACACTTTATTTTAAAGGGGAAAAATGTTAAACACGCCTCTGGACACGTGACCTAATCGAAAATTTGTAAGAGGAAAATAATAAAATTGGAAAGGTTGTTGACTTTCAATATAATGGACGAAACATAGTAATATTTTATTTTATCGTATTATAATAATAAGTCTCCGGAAATATTGATTTAGATATTAGAAAACCCTTGAGTTAGCTCTAGAAATCTTATAAAATATTGATATTTGAAATTTTTGGTAATATGCAGTCCTTAACGGAACTGTAGTATCAGCTACCTAAAGAATCTAAATTGTGTGTTGTACCAAATTAAAGTATGTTTTTTAGCCCGAAAGCTAATAAGATCGAAATATGACAAGCCCTTTAAAAATGAAGACATACCGAGGCACGATATTCAGATGGCTCACATTGTACCTTGATATCGCGAAATATATTTAAAATTACACTATGATAAAGTTATTTACCCTATCATGTGTAATGTATTCGATAAAATTGGGTACAAAGAAGCCGGCGATAGTTCTGATGCCATTTGACAAGCCCATGAGGATGGAGGAGTACTGACGCACGATATCCAGATGGCTCACATTGTATCCCGATATCGCGAAATATATTTAAAAAGTACACTATCAGTAAAGTTATTAAGTCTATCTTGTGTAATGTAGTCGATAATAATAGGTACAAGGAAGCCGGCGCTAGTTCCGATGCCATTTGACAAGCCCATGAGGATGAAGATGTACCGAGGCGATATATTCAGATGGTTCACATTGTATCCTGATATCAAGAGATATACCTAAAAGTTGCACTTAAAGTTACTTACTCTATCTTGTGTGATGTAGTCGATAACAATAGGTACGAAGAAACAGGCGCTAGTTCCGATGCCATTTGACAAGCCCATGAGGATGAAGAGGTACCGAGGCAATATATCCAGATGGTTCACATTGTATCCTGATATCGTAAAATATACTTAAAAGTTACATTATCAGTAAAGTTACTTACCCTATCTTGTGAGATGTAGTCGATAACAATGGGTACGAGGAAGCTGGCTATAGTACCGATGCCATTTGACAAGCCTATGAGGATGAAGACGTACCGAGGCGATATATCCAGATGGTTCACATTGTATCCTGATATCGTGAAATATACTTAAAAGTTACATTATCAGTAAAGTTACTTACCCTATCTTGTGTGATGTAGTCGATAACAATGGGTACGAGGAAATTGGCTACAGTACCGATGCCATTTGACAAGCCTATGAGGATGAAGACGTACCGAGGCGATATATCCAGATGGTTCACATTGTATCCTGATATCGTGAAATATACTTAAAAGTTACATTATGAGTAAAGTTATTTACCCTATCTTGTGTGATGTAGTCGATAACAATGGGTACGACGAAGCTGGCTATAGTACCGATGGCATTTGACATGCCCATAAGGATGAAGACGTACCGAGGCGATATGTCCAGATGGTTCACATTGTATCCTGATATCGAAAAAAATATTTTAAAGTTGTACTATCAGTAAAGTTACTTACCCTATCTTGTGTGATGTAGTCGATAACAATAGGTACGAGGAAGCCGGCGATGGTTCCGATGCCGTTTGACAAGCCCATCAGGATGGAGGCGTACCTCGGCGCGATATCCAAGTGATTCACATTGTATCCCGATATCGCAAAACCACTGCACGCAACGCCGAGCGTCAACTCTATAGTAGCGATGTACTGAAACAATGATACCGTTAAATAACTAGACCTACATAATCCTGTTTAACACATCGTATTTGTCAATTGTTTTAATAGTAAGGGAGCACAAGCCGAGTTTGTGGGATACTCGAGCACGGTAGAATAACATAAGGGGGCAACCTTGCACCTTGTGATGTACTCCCACTGTACCTGACCCCTTTATATAGGGCCGAACGTCTAGGGCAGCAGAAAATTTAAGACAAACAGCCATGAGTTTTGGTCACGTCGTCAGTCTTTTCGATAGGAACTACTAGATGGTGCACGTTACATTTCTGGTGAGGGAAAATACATTAATATGGTTTGCATGGTGTGGTGGTGTTTGTACGAAGGGGTAGAATATAGGAAAAAATACATTGATAACTAAATAATAAATAAATAAAACTGAGAAGGGATGTTACGTAAACCCTCCAGTAGCTCCATATAAAGAATGACAATTAATGAAGAATTGTAATAACATACGAGTACATTGTCGCATTGGGCTATAATACCTGTAATATCAATTTGTAAGTCAACATATAAGTGAAACATCAAATATGAATTTTAAAATTGATTAGAAATCCCTAAATGTCAATTAAGTTTTTTTTAATTGACTTATTGATCTCATTTCTGACGTCCGTTCTGCAAAATATCTTAAACTTATTCTAACTTACAAATGTAGACAACACATGTCTACAATATTTTTTTTATGGGAAACTTAATAATATAACCTACCTTATTATTGGCATAAGCCACGAGCACAAAGAAGAATGCTTCCATTCCGAAACCACCGCAGTTGAAAAGCTTGCGTACGTTAGTCGTAGTCATAATGTTGTTCTTGCGCAGGTAATCGGCCAGCATACCACCAATAGGCACCAACGAGGTCATGATCAAATGCGGAATAGCACCAACAAAACCAGACTGAAAAAATTGTTTGTAAATTCAATTTACAATTATTGCACCATATTAAGATTCTCATATTAAGACTTGATCCTGTTTTACAATAGTTGTTTAACACATCATTCCACTTCTACCAATTGTTAACAGTGACATCGAGATAGAATGAGGTTTTAACATGATTAGATGATTGGTTTTTTAAGCGAATTTCTTCATTTGTTTATCTTTAGTAAATTCATTATGAGATTTCTCTAGAATCCATAAGGTTCCACAATGCAATAAATATGGGTTAAGTAACAAAATTAAATGAATTTAAAATGATAAATATATGTATTTAAATTTTTTAAACTCAACAGAAAAAGAGTTTAAAATGTATAGTGATTGTCATAGCAAAGAATGGTACACCAAAACTTTGGTGTGTTGTTGAATTTTAGGAGAAACTCTGCTAAAATACAATCTTCATTTATGCAGTAGTTATATTTTACTATTTATGTCGATAAAGGAAACATTAAGTTTAAAGAAAAAAAACCTGTTTCAGAACACTTATCCCTTAGTGGCTGCCTTTTTGTAGTATACGCGAACCGGTGACAATCAATTTTTTTTTCAAAATATCCATCGTAGCACTTAATTTTTTACGATTAAGATTTAAGATTAAAGAATTGCCATCAAATAATAATAAAAAGATGTTGTGTTCAGTATTTTATTCATAAATTTCTTCATATTTTACTATAAATTTTAGCAAAAGGGCCAATCATTGTAGGGGGCCAACATTAGTACAGGTTCCCCTAGGTTTTAATTTTGACGCAAGTGGGCCTAAGTTATAATTTTTATTTAGGTATCTAACTGTTAGAATTGCATCTAAAGAAATGTTTTTTTTTTGCTTTATTACCTCTGTAATCTGCATGTTGAACCTGCTGTTGAAATATGCAGATTGAAAAATTACTAACAAACAGAAGTTCCATGTTCTACAGAAGTTCGCAACAATTATAGCATACACCTGAAACAAATGAAATTTTTAGTACTTACGAGTACATAATAATAAATAGGGAAAACTTACAATTCCTAGAAATGTAGATGTCAGTAATTTTTATTTATAATATAATAAAAAGAAAAATGTTGGAAATATTTAATAATTAATTTTGGGGTGCTGTAAACTATTTTTAACCTCCGGCGGAAAAAGGGGAGTGATAAAAGTTTGACGTGTAAAAAAACCATCAATTCCCATAATTAATCTAAAAAGTAAAGTAATAAAAAAGACCAACAAAAAATGTATTCAGTCATTTTTTTGGGAATCGGGAGGTTTTTAAATTTTTAGTTTTGCGATATCATCTTACCGGTGGAGATGTCGCGAAGGCTTTCCAAGGTGTATTCCAAAAGCCAGGCATGGCAGCCTGCGAGGCTGTTCCTAGAGATTCTTCGATGTATGTCAACTCCTTGCCTGAGATGTGGGGGTGCTTACTGGGCCGCTCAAATACTAACCAGAGCCACATTACGTACCTATAATATGACCATTCATTTTAAACAACAGCAACAATCAAAGAAAGAACCAAAACAGAAAAAAAACAAAAAGTATAAGTAGGGTTTATTCTCATAGTACTCGATTCATTTGTTATAAAAAGATAAGAATCCTATACATCACTAGTGTGTCACAAAGGAACATACATACATATATAGGCTGTTAAACACAATATACTGTAAAACGACTGTGAAAAGATATATGGCAACTTTAATTTAAAACCTTTGTCAGCACAAGTGTGAACCGTACTTAATATGATATAAAATTGAAGACAAACTTAATCATTGTCCAGTGTTTAATATATTATGATACATGTATTGGATTTTATTTCCCAAGCTGGATCATTACTTATTATGTAATAATGTTTAGTGATTTTATTTACAAGGCAATACAAAGTGCGATTCAGACTTTAGGCGGCTGTGAAGTTAGCAGCAAACTCATTTGTGTGCAGGTTTTAGTTCAGTGACATATCTCGCGCACCCAAAACAAGAACTAAAGCATAGTAAGAGTTTAAATTCAACTCATAAAGTCGAATCATATAGTTATCTTATTTTTACATATAGACCATGTTGCTATAAACAGCGTGCCTTAGGCTGTGGATTTTTGTGGATGCCTTGGTTACCTTTACTATACCGAATCAAAAAGCGATCTAATGTAAAATGCAACTTGCCTACACGCCACTTATACTTTTTGGTTGGGTAATACTTTATTTGGCAATATTTTTGATAATTTATTGTTTAAGAGAGTGGACACTCCAACGTCATAGCATTATTTTTGTGCTTCAGTTCTTGTTCTGAGCGTGCGCACCTACGTCCTAACGTAGAAAACGCAGTAATAGACAAATAAATTACCAGATTACACCAGAAACACCGTAGAAGTAAAAGGGTGCTTCCCAGGAGATGTAGTCTGTGAGTAGACCCGAGAGGGGCATGCCAATGACTATGCCAGCGTATGTCCCGCAGAACGCCAACGTCGCCAGCCGTGACCTCTCGAGAGGAGGAGCCCACATCCTCCAGATGCCGTGACATGATGGATATGTCACGCCCTGTTTCGCAAACGAAAACATTAAGTTGCCTTTAAACTAAGTTTTTATAAATTAGGGTTGATGGTAGAAGCATGAAAATCAAGGGAGGTATGTATTTTTAAATGCCAGTTCATAAAAAACTTTTTTTTAAATGTTAGGAGTAGATAACCCTTATTACTTAAAGGTAAAAAAAAAATATATAGTAGCCGATTCTCAGACCTACTGAATTCGTCAATCGGTCAAGCCGTTTCGGAGGAGTATGGTAACTAACATCGTGACACGAGAATTTTATATATATAAAGAAAAGATAAAGAAATTACATTGATAGATATTTTCTAAAATTCAAAGATTCATCATCGTCAGCCTATTAATGTCCCCACTGCTGAGGAACAGGCCTTCCCTATGGATAGAATAGGGAAATGAGGCCGTGACCCATCACGCCGACCCTGTGCGGAAAGATGGGTGCTAACGACTGCAGATATAGCCGGAACCATCGGCTTAACGTGCTTTCCGAATCACGGAAGAGCTCGGGATATTAAGTTTTTGGTCACCCATCCAATGACCGACCATTGCGACAGTTGTTTTACTTCCCCGATCATAGGCCGAACGAGCTTAACGTTCTAGTGACTAGCGATAAGCTGGTATTCGCATTCTACTAGGACGATGTAACATAGATACTTCAGTATTTAACTTTTGCTCCAGTGCTCTATCGCGATAGACCTCATATCGGCTTTACGAACTAAAATAATATTCATTTATTATTTATTTTTACTTTGGCACCAAACCAATTAATACAGTTTTGTAAATGGCTTCCTGCTTTTTATATATTTTTATAATAGGATGTCAATACAATAATAGCCAAAAAATATAGAGTAATATACAGCGGTACCTTTAATAAAACTTCTGCGATTTGTTTCTACTTTAATACATTTATTATTGATTAGAATTTTTTATATATGACTTTCTAAAAATGCCTGTTATCTTATTTTCATCTTTCATACAGCTGTTCTCAGTGAAATCCATTTGAAAACTGTACAATGCTTCTCTATCCTGACCTTTACAAAAGAAGATATATCTGAGAATATGATCGTATCAACGATTCGCAGTATTAGATTTAATAGGATAGCACTGGCATTGAAGAATCAACTAAGCCGGGATGTAGCACCGAGCAAATACGTAGTCATGGAGACCGAGGGCCCGATAATCCTAAAGAGGCTTTGTACTTCGAAAGCGGTGCCGATAGTACTTGAGTGATTCAACAGACCATAATCGATAATTCTACCAGATTTATGATTGTTATAAATAAAGCTATCTAGGTTTAAACCATTCGCATATTTTTAAATGTAAACATTTTTAGCATCCGATAAAGTCATATTAGTTTGATCAAATTAAAATCGCACTCAAATTAAAATTTTATTCCCTTTGTAGATATTATTAATCCTGAACAATAACGTAATATCTATAAACTTGTATCGGATACAAATTAGCAACGCCCCTTTCGTACTCGATTATAATACACCGTATTATGCAGAATTCGGTTTGTCTAAAATACAAAAGGAGGGGGACTTCAATCCAAACGTGATGCGTCGTACATTCGATATGGATGCGGGGTCCAAAATTTTAAGCTCCGATAATAAGCTTGATCATGCTCCGTCACGAACGGAATGCCAAATGTTGGAAATTTTGAACGTATGGCGTTACTCGTTACATGTTCATACCTCACCCTTCAGATGTCACGCATTAAGATAAATGTAGCTTGGATTCGAAAGTGTGCATGATGCTTCTACCACACCTGCGCGGCGAAGCTTTGGTTGGATTTGGTACTAAATACGCTAAAGTTAGCATTCGCCATTTGAATTAGTTCTATCGTAATGAATTATATCGGGCTATGTGTCTATAGACACTAAACAATAGCTTGACTAGCGATAATTTGACACACATAAAAGAGGTTGCCAGACACGATAAATTAGTATGTGCAGCTGAAGGAATGTACTTAATTCAAAGTTCGAACGCCAATTTAAGAGCATTTGCATGACAAAATTTAAATTTAAAATCTCACCTCAACAAATCCTTGAGTAACTTTCAAAAATACAACAGCAGCAGGACCAACTGACATCGCTCCCGGTATTGCCATATTTAATATCGCTGACGTGACGATCGCAGCACCAAAAATCTTATTTGCGGGATACATAGAAGCCAGAAAGCCCCCAGGAACTTGAGTAATAAGATATCCAAAAAAGTACGACGAATCAATAGAAGATTCCACTTTTACGCTCCATTCAAAAGGAGTTTCTTCTTTGACACCACTCGAAGTCTGAAACAAACCCAAGTATGTACCTCGTCCTTTAAATAGTCAGCGTTCAATCCACGTTCCATTAAATCTGGCAAAAGGATTCTTGAAACTTCGTCAATGGAACCGAGAGTTAAAATACTTAGGTAGAACTATTTTCGCATCTCTTTCTGTTTATTATCAAATACGGGATTATAAATAAGAAGCTTTGTGTCAAAAAAAAACATATTCTGTACCTATATGGTACTCAAAAAGTCCCTTGAATTTAAATGTCTACTAACACGATTCCTTAAACCAATTATTTAGAAACAAAATAAATAGTTACAGTAATAGTTTTAAAGACATAATTTACAGTATTGATAATTGTTTCGTTCGTTCTAGAACAGCACTAGTTTAGTAAATGAAAATAATCAAATAAATGCATTTATTACCTATACTTGCATAAGTACTACCAAATCAGTCAAGTTCATAATTTGCAGTTACAATATTAGTGGATAAAGCTTCATAATCCCTACAATTAATTGAAAAAATTAAATCATTGTTGTGTATGTTTATTTTATAGGTCTAAAAAGATTGGCTAATCTACAATTTCTAATTCTTTTATTCTGTTCTATATCACTTAGCTATTCGTGTTTGCTATTTGTAAACGTGGCATCAGTCTGTCCTTTTTATTCCTTATAAAACATGATATGGGCAGACATTTCTCAAGTTAATAAATAGCAAACACGAATAGCCAAGCGAAGTGCCGGCATGAAAGATTAACGTGATCGAGCCTGGTACTCACGTTGATTTTTTCTGTCATTTTTAACTTGGCCATGCTCATGTTGCACCGCATTCCGAACATTATACTGAACCCGAAGCAGGCAAGCAGGGCCACTGTGTATCGTGCTGTTAGACATGGACATTCAGCTCGTACATATTTATCTGTCCACAAAAAAAAAATACATTAACTATTACGTAAAAAATAATAGATAAGTATACATTATAATGAAATAATTATATTCTTTCATGTAAAGAAGGTGGTAAGTAAGCATATGACCCGCAAGATGTATAACACAATAGCTTCAGATGCCAACCAAAGTTAATTTTCTTTACCTACCCTAGTCTTGGGCATAGTAGTTTGCAACTGAGATCGCTCAGTTTAGGTCGCCGCCCCTAAATGAAGTAGTACGCTCTTCAACGGCTTTCTTGGCATTCGCATATTGAACTAGTCTTAGCTAGAGCCAGAAAATTGATCTAGACATTTAAGACTTTGAGACATGTGGTGCCAGGGGAGACGATTGGTGATCATAGCTCTTCAAGAAACATCCTCAGGGAAATCGACACCTCTCTGGTACAATCAATCTTAACTTACTGCATTACCATATGGGGAAGAGCAGAAAAAGTAAAATGATCGAGGTTGAACGTGCTCAACGTGCTTTACTGAATGTGATGATCTTCAAACGCAGAAGATTCCCGACTGACACTTTATATGCTATCAGTAAAGTTATGTCAGTAAGAATTCTTCGCACTATATTAAAAAGACATAAAACCAACCTTTATGATTCAAAATGAAGGCTAGGGGAAATAATGTTATTCCCCTTACCATAACAACGATGCCTGATATCAAAATCAGGCAAAATTAAAAGGTGACTTCAATCACTAATAAAATTAATATGACCAAAACGTATGGTATTAAAATAAATTATGATTAACTGTTACTTGGATTGGAGCGTCCTCTTTTGGGCGCCATGGCGTAATTTTGAGCTAGTTTTGTGCCTTAGGTACGTATTAAGAAATCTGAGACTACGATCTTGAGATACAGTTTTCATACAAAACAGCATCTCAAGATCGTACTCAAGAACGCTCTCAGAGTTAAGTGCGATCTATTTATACGGGCCTTAAAATTAAATATTACTGGGTTTGAGTTACTGAGTTGGCGTAATAACGCGGCGCAGCGCTGTGTTCAAGATAATGTAGGTATAGGTAGGTATTGGGCATAGCTGATTTTACATTCGAATTGGAACGCCCGTCTAGGGAAGTAACCTGAGTTTCTTGCCGGTTCTTTTCAGTAGAAGGTCTCCCGCCGTAGATTTGCGAACCGATGGCGTAGCTTTTCGACTTTCACAAGTGCTTGTAACAGCCTAGACTGAATAAACGATATTGAATTTTGAATTTTAACGTTCACCTTCCAGAAGATCACTGTAACATAACAACCTTTTGGTGGTGTTGCGTTTCTATCGGTAAGTAAGTTTCTGGAGCTCCACGGGATAGGGGATCGAGTCAGGGGGCCGACAACGGTGCGAGTAATTTTTTTGGCATCGCAAGCGTCTATAGCCAATAGCGGCCGCTTACCATCAGTCGGGTCAATCGGCTCTTGTTAAACTTCTTAGACTGCGCTGGTAGTGAGGTCAGCTCGTGAGATGGTGGCTATGTTGTTCCTGTTGAGCTCTCGTTGTATGGTGCGAACAAAATGTTTATTGCATTTCTTGAAAATGTAATAAATTGCAGCAAACAGGATTATGCAGACGGTCGCTCCGATCAAAATTTCTAGGATAGCCAATTTTTCGCTCTGGGATTGGGATGCTGTCGCCGAAGCTGCTCCATTTGCGTTTGAGCTATCACAACTTGTTCTTTGGATGCCGATTTTCCCATTATTTGTTTCTTCTGTAATCTCTTGTAATTCTTGTGAAAATTATCTTGTATTCTTGAAAAATACGGATCTTGAATTTTTGGAAATAGGTTTGGTCTTCTTTTGACTGAGTTCTTGGTGGAAGTATATTACACGATTCGAATGGCAAGGGTCGCCATCTAATATTAGCCTATCGTTGGTTATTTAAGGAAACATAGTTTATAGTTTGAAGTCCGTTTATTGAGTGCAATAAAACATTACAGAATAATTGAATTAATAATATTGCTTACTTGCTAAAACTATCTACGTAAATAGCGGATTGCGACATGACCTAATTACGTTTCCGATAGGTATACACTACACTTGTTTGCCACCATATTAATTAAAAAAAATACATATAACTTCCGTGAAGCTCTAGTAACCTTATTCGCCAAAATGTCATATTATTTCACTGCGGTCTTCTGTAAGTTTACTTCTGCAGATGGCTGCTTCAATTCGAGCGGATAATCCGCTGTGTCCTATCTCCATTGTTACACAAATCTGCAAACTATAATTTTGAATAATACCTATTGGTCTCGGTGGCGGCCTGTCAGGCGACGGTGGTGTCTCCAGGTCGTCACCATCGTACACGTTGTAGCCCTTCCGGTCCACATGGAACGTCTCATACTGACTGTTCCTGCAACAAACGAAATGTTACTTTATTAGGACTGTCATGGTGTAATAATTATTTTGTTATAATTTTACTTAATGGATTAAAAAAAAGTAATTTGGGTACAGTTTTGGCGGCATTGGCGGCAATAAATCTCTCTCATCTTTTTTCTTATAAGGAAAAATCAACGGGTTTTTCTTATACAGCTAGTATTCGAATATTTAATATGTTCATGGGTTTTTAGCATTGTTTCCTTGGACGAAGAATCTCGCTAAGAACTATGTCTATGATTATTTCAGTATGCTGGCACATGAATAAAGAAACGTACAGTCCGTACTGTATAACGTTTCACTACTAATATGATGCTGGCACTCTAACAAGGACTTTAGAAAATATTTGAAGTCGGTCAAGTGCGAAACGCAAATATCACCTTTTTTGGTTTTTATTATTCCAAAGTTTATTTAATTTACAACTTTAAATAATTTATTAACTGAATTGTTGGTCGTGATTTTAACCTTTGCACAATAATATCGAAGACCTTTATCAGTACCTACTGTATTGCAATCAGGTAAACAGTAGAAATATAACAAATTTATATTCGATACGATATTTTGGACGACTTCAACCAAAATACCTCGCAAATTTCAAAATGCATGATGAAATTTGTTCGTAATGAATTAATTATACATTTATCAAATTATAAATCTGATAATGCATAAAAGGATAGTGGTAAAAATGTTTAAGTAAGTTTTTGGGACTGTAGATTTATATTTTATCCGAAAATCATTTAGATTTTTTTAATAGCTAATAAGTAATACATCGAAGATAAATTTTGAATAATTATAAGCCCGTAACAATTTATTATCAAATATCAAGAAACCTTACAAAATGTTTAGAAAAAAAGAAGCTTTATGTGATGTCTAACAGATAGCAAAACAGTCATTAATCGCCTTATAGGCGCAGTTAAATAGGTATAGAGTTAAGTTAGATAATATGTCGATAATATCGAATGAAGGATATTTATCACGGTCGCAGTCTTACGGCAGTGGACTAATCCTTCCGAAAAAAGAGTATTCTATAATTAACCACAAAACGGGAAGTGTATTATTTAATTTCTTTATCAATATAATCATATACAAATAGTATCAGTTTTTTATATTTTTAGTCAACTTCTGCATATAGGAAATTGTTCGAACAATCTCAACATAATATAAAATCAATAATCACTTCCCAATTTTATCGAATTTTATTAATACTTATTTGGTAAAATAACAAAAACAAAGAAGATTGTTTTTATAATTCCCTTTTAAATTTACTATGTTGTCATAAAAGTTTCAGTTTAATTTAGTAAAACTATGACGCAAAAGTTAATTTAAAGCAGAGCGCACATCAGAAGCAATACGTCACACTAACCCTGTTATTGAAGCGAGTAAGCGCAGCACGACAGACCCATTACGGAACGGAATTGTATTAACGTCGACTTCTGTTGTTTGCAAGCTACTCGTACGTGAATTAAAGTTCCGTACTATGTACGCTTCTAGTATCCACTCTTCTATAAAACACAGGTAGGCAAAACTGTTAATACTGTAAATATGAAAACTTGTAAAAACTGCCAAAACATGCCGTTTGCTTTTCATGAATAAATAAATAATAATATTTAATATGTATATTTTTACCTGTACCTACACAATAAAGTAGTTGCCAAAGCCAAATACGAAATCGTATGGTACATTTTGTGTGCCTAGAAGATAGTTTTAAAGTAGGTAATATCATTATTAGTGATGAGTAGAATTACAATAAATAAAACATCGTTTCCAATAATACTTAATATGTATTAGATTATACCGTTAAACATTCAAGTTATCGGCAGAAGTCACCGGCGTGTGAATTCATTTTTCCGCTGACAAAAGTAATAAATGTGACTATCTGTTCGCTCCCCCATTTAGGCGTCGAGTCGCGGCGTAATGAATCGCAAGCATAAAAGGCATAGCCAAGTGGAAGCGACGCAGCTCGCCCTCGCGGCTCCGCGTTAATGCGTTTTGCGCTGACTGGACGAGATATCACGTCAACAATTTTATTGCTTATACCTTAATGATAATTGTATTACTTGCGATTGTATCATTTTCACGAATTCACTTTAATATATTTATTTTTATTTTTTGCTACTTGGCATTTTTAATTATTGAAAAGATAATATTCCTACTTGTATAATAAGCTTATGGTGATCATAATAGGTTCACGCAACTTAAAACAATTGTACGTATTAGCAAGCAACTTTAGAGCAACAAAATATCGCAGTTTCTATGAACATAACAGCCGAGCTGTCGATCATTCTAAGTAGATCTATGGTAGATAGAGTGACGATTTATTTACTCATTAGATCTCTGATATTACCAAAAGACATCATTTAGTAACAATGATTTAACTTGAACTATATACTTACATTTAAACGTAGTCCTTAATTATTTTTTTCGTTTCCGAGGTTTTATTGCGTCATATTGTTGCTCAGGAGAAGATAGTTTATAAATAAAACACTTTTTTTAAACGGGATCTAAAAATTCCTTTTATTATTTTACATATTTCCGACGTTTCGGTTTCTTTACTTTTACACTTACTAAATAATGATAAATCTTTTTATTTAATGATTGGTGTGCGTGTAAACGTGAGAAATAAATAAGATTTAAGATATTTTTTTTATGATTTAGATTTAATTGAAGTTAAAAGTTTAAGAAGAAATTATATTCCTCAGGCAGGCATCTTTAAATAATATACCGATTTGCGAGCGACCCGATTATCAGTATGCGGAAGTTTTTAAAAACCTTTTATCTGTAACCTGATGTTGAGCGTGATACGTGATGCCTATATTTTCCAAACTCTAGGACAAATTTAGTTAGTCCAAAAATTGTATAGCTCAACCTTTAAGTCATTTTTACGAATAAAGGAATTATACGAGCAGATAATAGTGTATACTGTGTATAATAATTTTGTCAGCCCCCTGTGCTAGCGTCGGCTAATGCACCCCATGTCGGCGATTAGGTGGCGTTACTCAAAACGGCATAATTGCTGTTTAGCTCGCATGTCTACGCCCCGATAATGGCTATAGGCATTCCGATGTCTAACTATAGGGCAGATGGAACAGTTTACTATTTATAACAATAAATTAAATCTTATCCTACCATATTACTAGTATTATAAATGTAAAAGTTTCTTCTATACATATAATAAAATGGTAGGAAAGTCAAAACTGTACATTGAATATTCTTTTAAAAGAATACTTGGGTTGTGATCTACAATTGATACCGAAGTCAAAAATATAGATGTTAGAATTTTTGTCTGTTTGTCTGTATGTATGTCCGGGATAAACTCAAAAAGTACTGCATGGATTTACTTCAAATTTGGCACGAATATTATAAAGAAGTCGGGTCAACACATAGGCTACATATTATCACGAAACTTCACCCCTAAGGGGGTAATACGGGGGTTGGAAGTTTGTATGAAAGTCCTATGTTTTTGAAGTAAGAGACTTGAAATTTAACATGTATATGATCTATAGATGGTGTACAGGTGTACTAATAATTTATCTTTAGAAATAAACCCCCTTTTGGGGTTCAAAATTATGTGCAAATAACTAACTCCACGCGTACGAAGTCACGGGCCGCTAGTAAATAATACTTCAGGTACTTATTAATCCAATCATTCAGCAGGTTACTAAATATGAATTTACAAATGGATAGTATGTAAGTTGAGTATAATAGTAAATATATTATTATGATGAATAACAATGCGTGTGAATAGTCCAGAAGAAAAAATATTATAATCAGAAATATGTACCACATAAAGCACATACAAAATAAGAACATACATACATATCACTTAGGCCAACTAATAATATGTAGAAATACAGACAAGAAAGAGATTAACTAAAAATTTAACGAGCTACCGAGTCTATTAGTAGCAAAGGGGTTTACTTTACAATGCCCGGGCTACACGAGGATAGTTTTTCAAGCTAGAATAGCAAGCTATTAGTTCTCTGCTAAACTGTCCCAGCTTGCTGACCTGGCTTAAAAAATGCTAGTTCTGTTTATATGGTGTTAAATTTTATTGAATGGCTAAAATTCATATGACGTCCTTTACAAAGAAAACGAAACGCGTGGTTCCTGTTTACTATTCCACTGAAACTAGCTTCGCCGGCCACATGAAGCTAGTACACTAGCCAGGATAGTAAAATTTGTGGTATGGGGCACTACTAGCCTAAAAAAATAAACACTCTCCTATTATAAACTGTCCTGGCTTGTAAACTAGCTTACTAGCTTAAAAATGAAGCTAGTGTTGTCTACACGAAGCCAAAAGTAGCAGCTTGTTAGCTTACTGCCACTAGCTTGCTATCCTAGCTCGAGAAACTAGCCTTGTGTAACACGGGCAAAAGTTCTCGGTAACGCTTACACAACGCCACAATATCATCTGAAACTTTGTTAATTGTATACAGCCTTGGAGGATAGACCTCCGACTTCCCATCCTTTTGCTTCGTTATTTACTCATTGTAAAGCAGAAACGTATTGCCAGAACGATTAACCTTTAGGAGTATCGCGGTCTGCCATGCTGGAATAGATGTGAAAGAAAACATTGTTACCTACTCCCAAAAATATTTACCCCTAAAACTAAAGTACAAAAAATCTTGAATCTCCCGGACGGACTTTCAGTGTTACCTAATAAAAATGCAGTCGGACCGAAGGATACAAGAACTAAAAAAATCCGTCGATCACTAATCGTATCATGAATTATTATTACAATATAAGAATGCATTTAAAAAACAACCTAAAAATACCCTCGAAAATTAAGAAATGAAAATCTCAACTCACTTATTTTCCCCCTAATTTTAGTGGCAAACCCCTTAAGTAGGTAACACTAATGATAAGTTAGTATGCTCCACCTAATTTACCTAAAGTTTAAGAAAAATAACGCCTGCAATACTTTAGCGATGGACTGGCAACCTGATTATATTATTTTAGGACAAATATTCCAGTCCT